CCAATATCCACTTACCGATGAGTACAAGAGTGCCGTACTGAAAGTTCTCCTTCAGAAGGACGGGCTCGTAGAGAACAATGTCGTAGCCCTCAAACTCTCCACTGTGGTGGGACGAGTAGATGATCTTCTTCTTCTGCTTGCGTTTCCCGAGACAACTCACAAAGGTACTTCCGTCGTGGGTTTGGTATGCCTTGCGACTGGATGTGGGAGAGAGAGAGATAGTTACATAAGTGCGACATCAATGCAAAGGCAAACAACACAACTATGTATGCATACACCCACAACAACTCTTTTTTTTTAAAAAGCTGCCCAATTCGAACCCACAACACGCAAGTGCTCTACCAGCTGAGCTACCAGGGCAATGCAGATGGTATATAGGGTTAAAAGAATAAAACACAAGACAAAGGCAAACCACAAATTCCGCTATGGCACAGTACACACTCAGTCATCAGAATGTAAGCAGAGGAGGGAGGAAAAGAGAGGAAGTGAGAGAGAGAGAGAGAGAGAGAGAGGGAGGGAGGGAGAGAGAGAGAGAGAGAGAGAGGTCGAAGGAACGGATGGAAAGAGGAGCAATTAAGGGAGAGAGGGACAAACAGGAGAAAAGGGATCAAGATAGAGTGACATAATAATACCGACTGTTCCTCCAGCATCTGACTGGGGATGAGTTTGGTGAGGTTTGAGAAAGAGAGAGGAAAAAGGGAGGATGAAAGAGAGAGAGAAGGGAGCAAGAGAGAGAAGGAAGAGAGAGTGACGCATACCGTTCCTCCAGCATCTGACTGGGGATGAGTTTGGCGAGGTCGTGTTCCCCGTAGCGGATGGCCTGCCACCAGAAGCTGTCCTCCTGGTTCATGATGGTCAAGATATCTCCCTTCTTGAACGGCAGTCCTGCATCCTGCCGGAGACAGAGGAACAAATAGTGACGAGTATTTGCAATTGAAGGGAATGAAATGAAAGAGAGAGGGAGAGATGGCAACAAAGCAAGAACATATCAGAAGGATAGACATGTGGCGCTACCAGCCTTGCGTGTGACTACATGCTTTGCTTTATTTCATCTCTTTCCCGACTCTGACTGAGTCTGACAAATCTCAACATGCCTATAATATTATTGCAGTACACTATTGATTATGTAGTGAGTTACTAGTTCAGAGTATGTACGTTATTGAGCAAGGGGGCGGAACTAAGCCTCAAACACTTGTAAACCCCCTCAACTGTTTAAGTTGCTCAATCCAGACGGGCATGTAAGATGGCAAGGGTTAGCTAACTACTGCACTCACAGAGGAGGAGGTAAGAGGATAGGAGACAAGATGAAACAGAGAAGACTGGTTACCTGTGAGGGTATGAGTCGGTCTTGTTTGGGGTTGTAGTCAAAGTGGGCCCTCACGTAGAGCTCAGTGGCCCCCGCGTTCTCCTGGAAACGAGGCTCCACCTTGATCACCACCGACCCGGAGCTGTTTTGCTGTGAGACAGACGACAGACAAACGATTACACCTCAACCAAGTGAATTGTGGACACACTAGCCACAGAAACAGTGCACTATGCGGTGGACCACATGCAGGACGAAAAGAGGTATGTATGTCGGCATCAGCAACGGTTCCGTGCATGGTTTGCCATGCATAGATAGTATAGTACAAGTCACAGGTACATGAGTCAGTGAGTATAAGTGAAGGATAAATTCTGCAGAGGGGTGTGCTTACACAGGCAATGTTTATAAATGTGAGTGGGAGGAGGTGTATGTTGGTAGGGAGGGGAGGGAGTAGGGAGAGAAGAGTAAAGGGAGGGAGGGTGAGGGAGGAGGTACGTAGGGAGGGAGGGAGGGAGGGAGGGAAGGAGAGGGAGAGAAAGATAGGGTGGCTGAGGCAGTAGAATGAGAGAGATGGGATGTAGGAAGAGAAGGAAGAGAGGTAGAGGGTGGGGAGAGAGAGAGATGGAGAGGAAATGGGAGAAAGAGAGAGGGAGAGAGAGACAGTCTCACCATCATGGCCTGGAACTCTGAAGGGCTCATGGAGTCCACACTCTCGCCGTTCACCTCCACGATCCGGTCCCCCACCTTGAGCAGCCCCTGTCTGTGGATGATTCCTCCAAACAGAATGCGGGCGATGATCAGGTGGTTGCTGGCCAGCTTCAGAGTTATACCCTAGATAGGGAGTAATGAAGAGAGGGCAAGGTGAAATGAGAGAGAGAGAGAGTAGGGTTGTCAACATGTGTATGTACATTGTGTATATGAATGTTTTTTTTGCAGTAAACAGAAATTCAAAAAAGTATTTTGTCTAGAAACACAGGAAACACGTTACTTTTGTGTATAGAAACTCGGAAAGCAGTATGTCTAGAAACTTCTCCCTAGATACACATGTGTACAAAGATGTCCATTAAAATGTGTGTACATCCATATTACATACATACATACAGTGGAGCTACAAAACCATCTGTATAAATTATGTGTGTGTGCATGCAGTAGGTAAGGTCCAAACTCTACCTACGATATTTCCATACAACATTTTCAAGGGACCACTAAGAGGGTGGGGATGTGTTTACACAGGCAGCTAGTGTATATACTGCCACACAATACTACTGGGGGTTCCCTCGGTGCATGCCAATGGCAGTGGGTGTGCTGGTATGCAAAAACCTTATATCACTCTGTGTAGTACAGTATACCTCATACCCCACACACCATTGCGGCAACAGGGGGAGGACAGTGGAATGCGAGATCACTCGACACACTCCATAGCGCCCTGTAGCTTACACAAGTCACTAGATACCCTGTAGTTTGGAAACTCTCTCAGCCCACCACCCCGGTAATTTGTGGAGGTTGTGGGTAAGCGTGCTTCAATAGTTTGCGTGTGTACCTTGCACAGGTGTAAACTACATCTTATAACATACATACCTCCCCTCTAGTCACTGTTTACATGCGAACATCTTTTTGTGCGACCAAATATGCATGAAAGTGACGTCTGAAAAAGACTGCTACGAATTATGCATAACATCAAAGTAAAAGTTCATTGAGGCTCACTTGCTTTGCAATTAGCTACAGCGAAAGAAAATCCAATTTGTGTCCCCCTCCTACTCAGCATATAATACCTGATATGTGTACATGGTCTATTGTTACATGGTATATATACACAACATAACACTGTATACTAGGAAAGTGTAGGTGTATAGGCAGGCAATGTATAACGTAATGATCTGATTACTCACACCAAGCTCAAAGTAGAGGGACACAAAACTGCACGTAGACGAACTACCGGGGATGTAGCGAGACAAGTATCGACGACAAAGCAGAAATGTTGAATTGCAGAAAGGCCTCGCACATCTCGACAGCCAGTCTGTCTCCAGACACCAATACAATGCTACCTACACCTACCAATATACATACACATCTACCCTTGAGATGCACAACAAATTCAGATGGTCCCAACAACAGCATGCCTACTACCAAAACATGTACATATCATCACATGACATACTACGCAATGTATGGAGAACACCAATCCCGTATTTGGGGGTCCCATATTCAGGGGGACAAAATGAAGACACAGAGGGACAATTTCCCACTGGGGCGCTCTAGTGCCAGCCCTGCCAAAGTGTGCGGTGGTGGTAAGACCACCGACCGACCGACCAACAGCTCACCAGTGGCTCGTTGGCTGACTTGTGTAGACCCACTGTCCTGTACTCTGGGGTCTTCCCTTTGCCCCTCTTAACGTGTCTGTCGTAGTTGGTCTGCGGGTGCCAGGTGGGGTCAAACTGAGGAACCGGCGTCTCGTAGCTGCGAGAACGGACGATGTCGTGGACGGACATGAGCTTCTGCATGTGAGGCCGACTCAGTGTTGTGTGCAGGTCTCTCTCCTCGTCACTCTGCATCTGGAGAGATTCAAACACCTGCGGAGAGAGAGAGAGAGGGAGGGAGGGAGGGAGAGAGAGAGGGAGGGAGGGAGGGAGGGAGGGAGGGAGGGAGGGAGAGAGGGAGAGAGGGAGAGAGAGAGAGAGAGAGAGGGAGGGAGAAAAAGAGAGAGAGAGAACACAATATACAGCTATCCATGGCAGCGTTGCACAACAGGAAATATTCGGTGAGTCTCATTTGCAGTCGCGCTCATACATTATAAGTCTGCCAAAGTCTGTAGTTGGTACAGGAAACTTTATGCAGTCTTTGAATGCCGACACTATATAGTTTGCAAAAGTCACCAGTGTACAAGTCGCCAAGCGAGCAAGCCTAGTTGTGGTAGAACTTTCTATTCATAACTGTACATCATCCTACAGCTAGCGCATGCGTTCAGATTACGCGCTTCAATTTATACGAAACGCAGTGCTCCAGTGTCTCCCAACGATCGATGGTGTTCCCTCTGTTGCTAGCTACAGCTCTAGCCTTTGCCTCTCTCTCTCTACTCTCACGAGGTGGCAGGCGATCTTCATGTCATTGTCAAGCCACCAGGGCCACTTCTGTCAAATCATCAGGTCCTTACTCAATTTCGTCTGTAGCTACAGCTACACATAGTACATAGCTCTATCTTTTGTCTACTCTGGCAGGCAATCTCACAGTCCTTTCATGTCATTATGAAGCAATCTGATACATAACTCTTGTCAAATTAGGACATGTGACACTGGTAAAGCCAATTCATCAACAAACTGTAGCGTAGCTAGATAGTGGTCATGCCCTTGAGACATGATAGTATCAACCCAGTCATGACTTTCAGAGCCACACGTGGATTAAGATGGGGATATAATGCTCCACTCCCCAAAGCATATCCACTAGTACTGTACCTCTTTCATAGCGTCCTCCAGGCTGGCCACGGGCTGCTCAAAGCTCTGAGACTCTGCGACTCCATCGTTGACCTCACACAGCTGCAGGAAATCAGGGTCCGCCAGAGTCTCCTGGACAAAGTTGATGTCCTCGTCCCATGTAAACGTCTCCCCTCGCAGTCTCTCTAATACCCCCTGTAACCCCTGGAATACCTCTGGAGAGGGAGGGAGGGAGGGGGAGGAGGAGGAAGAGGGGAGGAGGGAGGGGGAGAGATGGCTTGTAACCCAGGGACACAAAAAACGAGACTTCTGGGGCATATTACTGCTTAGCATATGAAGTGAGGCATTGTATCGGAGGAGAGAATTTAAGACATTTCAGTTCAACAACAAAGAGTAAGGAGGGCCATATTATTGTGGAGGTGGAACGTAGCACGAATTTTGACAAATAGCACATTGTAATGCAATGCAGAGACAGGAAGGATAGCATTGTAGGGGCAAATGCTATCATGGCTCCGTGTTACAATTATTTTGGTTGACGTTACTTGTACTCTGAGTGTGCTTCATAATGTCAGTTCCTTGGTATTGGCAAAAAGGGGGTTGTTTGTGCAGCTTCCTATATACCAGGTGGTTGCTTAGTAGCGTCGATCAAGGGTGAGTACTGTCACGGCTCTGCATTAAAACTAACTTGGTTTAAGCGTTGTTTAATGGAAGCTATATACTTATTGCTCCTCAGCATGTTCTCTGCTTGTACATTTAAAACCTGAACCTAACGTTGTAAACCAAAGTGGGAGGGGGGAGAGGGAGGGAGGGAGAGAGGGAAAGAAGGAGGAAGGGAATGATGGAGAAGGGAGGCTGTGTGTGTCACTCACCTTTGGTGTTGGGCACATTCTCCCCCTCTTCCATGTAATCCATTCCATTGGTTGCCATGGCACACTCTGAGGGGACAGAAAATGCAGAGAGTGATTGCCACTAACAGCCACTGAGACAGATTGGGCCAGATCATGCACATTACCAGTCAGATCGTACTGTATATACACATTTAGCAGGTATATAGTATGTATGTATGTATGTAACAAGTAGTGTGGTGAGCGTGAGCTACGTGGGCTAACCGAGTAATGTATTCATCACGTATGACATGTCATTGACAATCAGCCTGGGATTACAGGACTACAGCTCAGCGGAACATGAATTATATCTCATGCTGTTCCCACTGTTAGCCTCAGTGTAACGATGTTTAGTCCTTCTCACACTGCTTGCATGTGCGCCGTACATTGTGCAAGGTGGCAATTTTTTCTTAAGGTCTCAAAAATGGCACGTCTTTTCCAGCAAGCATACAATATGGGAAGCTTGCTAAAGAACTAAAGAGCAGTCACTACAGCCTGTAGCAGTACACAACTGTCCCACGTATAGCTATGTAATAGCAGCAGTACACCATTGTCCCATAATTACATAGCAAGTAGCTCAAGTGTTAGTGAGAACTAGTGAGCCGGAACATGGCCCACACCTCGCATAAGCCTCCCACCTTCCCACAATACATAAGACCTTCCTCCACACACCACGTCCCTATGTACACGTACAATGTAATACAACGATGCCTAAAGTGAGGGGAGACAGCCTGTCAGGAAAAAATATATGGATATCTGACAAGTGCAATAGATCACTGCATACACAGGGCATCAAGTTTCATTCCTCTGTAACTAGACACATCCTATGTAGTCGTACTGTATGCAGACAGTGTGTGTACACACATGCACTCCTTTCTCCATGCATATACACATTCACAAGCAACTACATAGAGGAGGAACTAAGGCCGATCCTAGTGCTTTTCTGCCTCACTTTGGTGCAGCAATAAGTTCATACAATTATGCAAACTGGAGTTACAAATCCTGCAACTATAACTGGGACCGCGAGTGTCAGCAGTTGAAAGTTGAAACTGGGCTACGTACGTACACATGTCTGCGTACACAGTCTGGACAAAGCCCACACAAAAAGCAGACACTCCCATGTCCTGCAGCCTACTAGCAGACTTACAGACTTACAGCCGGACCACAGCGACGTGGCCCTCTCGCCCGTCGTCAAAAGAGATGGAGGTAGAGGAGGATAGGAGGCGGGAGCTCGGCCAACACACGCCCTCGTTTCTCACGCCCTTTCGGTGCTGGATGCGTCTCTCCCCTGCCCCGTCCGGTTTAGTTGGCAACCAGCTACTGCCAATTGGCTGCCTGCTGCGACTAAGAATCGCTTTGATTAGAAGAAGCAAAGACTTTCTTGGGCGGGACCTCGGAGTAGTATATAAGTATACACCGTCCTGATCTGTGGATTGGGTGGCCGCACAACGTTACATAATGTATGAGATACTCGGCGGCGCGCGTGCTCGCGAGAGCTCAGCAAGAAAGTAGGCGTATCGGCAAAGCCCAACATCGCCCAAGACAAGCACAGAGACTAGGAAGACTCCATCATGTCCGCCAGAGATGCGACCAGGAGTAAGCCTTGCATGCAGCATAGAAATCCTTTCAAAATCCCGAAACGCTTGCGGGCGAGCTTAGTGTTTTGAGAAAGTATGGGCGGGGCTGGTTTACCTCGGGTATCCTGAGCCTGCTGGACTCGCTCTCGCCGCGTCTCAAGGGACGGAAAGACGACCTTCAGTTCTTGCAGGCTCTAGTAGAAAGCAAAGAGTTCCATTCACTTATCAAGGTTAGTTACCAACCGACCTTTGGAGGAACTTCCACGCTCTCTCTAACTCCTCTTTCTTTGCACATTATTCCTATCTAATCTAGGTCCATCATGAAGTGAGTGCAGCAACGACTTCGCACAGTGCACCCCTTCTTTACATCCTTCACTCTAGTCTGCACTTTTAAGATTGTAGACCTCCTATTATCCCTCCCATCTCTCCTTCTCTCCTTGTACACCCTTCTTCACATCTCTCTGTCTTCACAGGGGGCCTCAGTGAAAACTGGTAAAAACGGTCGAGTCCTGATATCGCGAGTGCTCCACGGAGGTGCAGCAGATAAGAGTGGCAAGTAAAGACCCTCATATAATCTCATAAAGAGCATGTCCTCATAGGATGTGTAGTGTACCAGGAACTAAGGACTAATGCCCACTCTCCAGTGTGTCACACCTCGACTCTACAAAGCATCTCCACATGCTCACATGTGTAAACCCTTGGCAAGCAAGCCAACGCATACACTTCTAGATACAAGTACCCTGCCAGCCTAAAGGCTTGCAAACCACCATCATTAATGCATATTTCGGTGATTGGCAAGTTTACATACAACAACAGCCTGTAATTGCTAGCAAATTGCTCGTCCTGAGTTCAAATGGAGAGCTAATAGCTAAGTATGCATGTAGCTACAGTATTATACAAACCAACTAAGTGTTTACCTACAGCCAGCAACGCTAGTGTCCCTTAACCTTGTCCCCAGGCTCACCTTACATGCATCTTCATAATATAGGCACTGGTGTCAGTTCACGACAGAGTGGCAAACAAGGAGTATCCAGCAGTGTATTCTACAGCTGCCCAGGGTTCGCCGCCGAGCTTGGACGAGGAATCAGTCACCAGAGTCAGAATTGACAAGCAAAAGGATCCACTGGTAAATGTGAAGACCTCAGCTGTTCTCTCTCTTTCTACAACTACTCTCTTCCAATTTTTCTGCTGTTGCAATCCCAATCCATGACAATCTTTTAACCCTCCCCCAACTGTATTGCAACTATTGCCACTGAATTTTAACCATTCTAACCTCTTCCCTAAAGTCGCATGAGTCATACAACACAAAGTGCGCCTCTTTCTTTTCTAAAGTTGCATCAGACTTGTTTTGCACAAAAAGTTGCACTGTGTTTAGTGTTATCCTATTGTTCGTACACGTCATTTCACCAGATCATGATCCAGTCTCTACAAGACTGTCTGCAGGGAATGGAGCAGCAGCAGCAGTCCTCCAATGCCAGCAAGTTCGTGCATTCTATTGCCGAGTCTATTGCTCGTGTTTTTCAGTACATAAGGGCAAGTTCGTATACACACCCTACATCTTCACACACAATCTAAATAAGAGCTAACGCTAATGCCAGCAAGTTCGTGTACACACCCTGCATCTTCACACAATCTAAATACTACTACTCTTACTCAGAACAGTTATTGCTATAATATATAGGCACCCATAAAAGTAATAAGGACCCCTCTCTAACAAGGAACCCAAGATGAAATCTTACATCGATGCCTGAAATACTGTACATCTCTGCACTGGCATCCAGATTGAGATTTGGACATTTTTTTCTCTTCACTCTTTCTTGACTTGTGCGTGCCTGCATGTCTTCCTTCCTGTATCTCTCCTTCATGTCGTTGTCATCTTCTTCCACTTCTACAATGTCTGTCTTTCCTCCTCTCCTTCCTCCAGACGCTACACTGGTCTTCCGGAGGTGGTATGGGAGGAGGAGGAGGAGGGAGAGAGCACATGAGCAGTCGCCACACCCATGAGACAATGAGAGAGATCACAGAGATCTCCGTGACATCAGGGACGTAAGGGATTTCCGTGACGACCGTACGATGAGGAGTGGCCACAAGATGTCCAAACACCATCACGACTGAAGTAGAGAGTGACGAAGATGACGAATACTTACAGTTGACCTGTTTTGTACTCCGCTAGTTTGCATGCAATTTTGTGATTTTGCTGACTAGTAATCCCTGAATAATGTATTCATCATGACTTTATACTTAGTTTGATCTTTGGAAGTTTCAATAGTACATGTGGGATTAAAATATTTGCTGTAATGATACTGTACTTCGAGAATCAATAACAAGGCAACTGGACAATTAACTAACTTTTGCCATCAAGTCCCTCTGCAAAATCAAACTCCTATAATTATAATTTATACTGCTTATATTGCACAGTTTCTGCACCACTTATATATAATTATACCAAGCTTATATTATTTGTGATCGTGTTCACTGCGCTTTTACTTTCTCCTGCTGATAACAAATAATTTCATCATTACAAACACTGACTAGTACACTATGCAAAGAGCAATGATAGAATCTTGACTATAATTGTCTCATTACGATGTAACACCGACGTAATCCTACATCCTACACCGCATCTTCTGAAATAGCTGCAGCCTTGTGGGCATCTGTAATAGATAGAAAGGAGGGGTACTTGATCAAGAGGTAGAAATGGTTCTTGAGGGGGCTTACATAGTTCTGCCACAACTGACACAGTACATGTGCATAAATTACACCTCTGCATCTCCCGAAAATAGTTTTTACTCTACCCAGGGCATCCCTTACTTCAAGGTTAAACTGTAGACCAGATTATTCAACACTATATACCTCGGGAGCTGTCTTCCTCCAAGAGAGGGGAGAAGGAAGAGGGGAGAGGGTGAGAGGAGAACAGGACGGGAGACGACATTCTTCGCGTCCCAACCTTTAGCTTTTTGCTGAGTCTGCGGACTATCTTCCCATGTGACTGGGGCTGTGCACCAATTAGAGGGAACAAGTCAAGGTGAGGCACAGCACACAGGTGGAAAAACAGAATTTACTTTGACATTGTGAGAGGTTCACACTAAAGGCAGCTAGCATTAGACAAGGTGACAAAAGGACATTAGTCAACTGGTAAAACTGGTTTAGCAAGTTATCGAAACAGGTTGTGTGTATACCTCAGTTGATACTCTTGTGGTTCCTTCTTTCAGTAGGGTTTCAAACTCTGCCTTTATCTGTTTTCTAACCTGAGGATAAAATTAACACAAAACACTCAGTAACGGCACAACATACATAATACACATAAAGTGGATAAAATTAACACAAAACGATCAATAATGGCACAACACAATACACCTAATATGGATACATTATGCACGAAAGAAGCAACGGATTATTTGGTGAGCAAGTTCAGAGAACATAATATTTCAACACGTGATATTAACAAGCCCTTCTTTCCCCTGAAAGAAAATAACACAAACAGTCGTCTCTGTGCACGTCTTTGGTCTCACACATGTCGAGCAAAACAGTCCTATATGCTCGAACGTGAATCCTTTCTTCAGATTGTTTTCCGTGTAAAGTTGGCTGTAAGCAGATACTTTGCTTCAGCTATGAATTGTACTGTGTTGCATTTAGTACATTGTGCAATCTCGTCCTCGCCCTCAACTTTCACAACTCTGCTTTTAATGCACGATTTGATTTGAACGAACTGACCGATTCTACTGCAATGACTGGATCATCTGTTTTTTGTGTGGATATTCCTCATTAGTAACATATCTGCCACTGCTGAATCTCTTACGGAGAAAGCGGCAGACTGGATTATGGCAAACATCGAAGAAGATCAAGTTGTACCAGTAATGGAGGAAGAGCAAGACCCGTACCCTACAGATGATTATTTTCATGAAGCGGAATTAGTACCTGATTTATCAATACTCCATGAAGTTCCAACAATCATAACAACAAACCAAAGCGCGCAAGTTATTAATCGCCCAAAGTATCACTGTTATTTATTCAAGTATTTATTTCAGTCGTATTGAATAGTATACCTGAATAGTACACAACATACTATGGCACGCCAATCCCAAAATAAGGCGAAAAGGCGTATCAAAAGAAATATTACGAGCAGAACAAGTAAAAGAGTATAAAAGTGACAGCTGATTTATAGGGAAGATAAGCATCAGCAAGACTTCCTTGATCTCCTCTGCCTCAACCAACTGTGGGACTCCCTCGACTTCCTCTACTTCGGGCTAATTGACGAGGTAAGTAACTGTATTGTGATTGCTGTGTAGAGGTCTTCAAGGCTTATATATTATAGACTACGGCATTCACGCATGCATACATAGCATGGATTGTGGCTGATATACGATGGAGGCTGGGACAGCCTATATAGCTGGTATGGCGAGTACCTACGTCTTCCACCTGGTTTTGCGCATGCGCAGTACTTGAGGTGACAGTAGAGTGGCAACTTCCGGAACATTCTTCAGCAGTTTCAGAAAGTTTATCTGAGTCACGTACGTATGCCCTCTTGACGGCAATGTCCAGGTGTTTGAGGTACACTTCTTTCAGCGCAAAAATCTCGAAATCTTCGCTGACCACCAACTGCACTCATAGACTCATAGACATTTGTCATTTTCGCACACTAGTCACACTCTCATTACCTTCAGGGCAAAATGAGGGGAAAAGTAGGGGTCGGACATCCCCGATTGCATAAAGAACCTTAACCTTAGGATAAGAACTGATTGCCATACGAGACATTCCATTAGTACCGAACTAACGTTTGATTATGGGATCAGTGGAGATGGTGTGTATGTGCACCAACACTGTCGTGGAGGCTGGGGTTACGGTGGTCGACCAGAGACTCTCAATTCTGATCCGAGATGAGCTTAACAAACTTATAAACTGTGAGGTGAGTTTGGGTTGGTTCATTCAATCATGTAAGGGGTTTCGGTGGCCGATTCTGGGGCAGACGGCTGGGTCGGCAGAAACGAGGGGGGTGCCAGCCCTAGGTACAGCGAAAACACCGGGCAACCCGGAGAGGCAGTCATCAAGATCAAGGAGAGGGCTACTGCCCCAGAATCACCTTCCGTCTCCCCCCCGTGGGCAGGAAGCGCAAGAGTTTATTGTGTATACCAGTGAAAGATGGGGGGGAGGGGGGAGAGCTGGTAAAGGCAGTGGAACCCCCTTGCTAGCTAGAGGCCTGGCTACGGGCCTGAGTATTATTCCCTAGAAAACGATAAACTGGGAGACAGGCAGCAGCACTGATGCTGAAGAAATTTGAAATTGTGATGTGCAGAGTAAGTGGTGTACTTGACACACATGAGTTAAAACTGATGTTTTCACAACAAAGACTTTTACACGCACAGGCAACGTAGAATATGCAAACCCATGGAACACCAATAAGACAACTCTGAACCGTATTGGTATTCTGCACTCTGCTCTCTGCACGCTAAGTCTATCATGTACAAAGTCAAAGCAACAATCAAATCCGAAGAACTACTTGTGAGTACGGACAGATTAAACTTTTACACAACCTCTTTTGAAAAGCATGAAAAGAATTACATTTTGCAGGGGTGGCTGGACGGGCGCACACGCGCAGTCGCACACGCGCAGTCGCACGTCCAGCACGACTGTACAACTTTTCAACGCTCTCCAATTTCGTCACGCTATGCAGAGAAATTTTTGTGCCGCTGTGGTAATATTCTGGAGATACCTATGGTGTCCAAAGTTTTTTAACGCTTAACCATAGCCAAGGACACTGTCATGCATGCTAAAACCATGATCACCCTAGCCCGTTTTAGTGCAACTCACGACCCAGTCTTGAACCCTGAAACTGTCGAAGCCACTCCACGTCTGGGGTAAATGGAGGGTGGCGTTACTGGCCACCAGAGAAACCACACCCGGCGAGTCTTTTCCTATATATTTGCCCTCTAATAATATTCCAGACTTTTCAAAGGGTGATGGGTGATGGAGACACACAAAAGCAGCATGGACGCCTTCAGGAGGAAGGCCACCAGTAGTCGGAAGCCAAATTGCTGCTCCTTGTACGTTACACAATGAAATTGGAAAGAGATACCAATGCATTTAGTGATCCTGGAACTAGAGCGGATCAGCCTCTACCTCGACCCACTCACTCGTCAGACTGGGCCCACCAAAACAGGCCCCAGGCATTTCATGGAGGGCAAGGGGTTAAATGGTCTCAAGACAGAGTAAAGAATCATTTATGGACGCCAAATAACCGGAAGTCCCATAGTACGCGTACAATTTTATTTGCGCGCACGCAGTCGCCCACAGTAATTACATATATAAGGGAAAGATAGAAAGAGTGAGAATACTAATCAGGACCTGAGAGCAGAACACCAGATCAGCTCGCGGTCAGAGTACGCTGAGCTCTCTCCGTCGCCAGCGACCAGCTCTCTCCATCTCCGCTACGATCGGTCGGGCACTGCTGCAGCTGACAACACTTGGGTCTATGTCTTTAGCTGGCACTCGTATGGAGAGCAGCGCCAAGAGGGCTAAGGTGGACACCCCGTCTCCCACCCCCACGTTCGTAGACGACGAGGACGACCCCGCAATAATAATCGATTTTCGGGAGGACCAGGTACTCCATAACATTTTGCAATTGCCTGGCATAGTGCCAGGGCCCGGCTGCCCCAATTTTCCTCAACCAGGTCCGAACGTGCCTGGCAATGCAGCCGCCACTGCAGCCAACTCTGGTGTAGCATTCAGGGCCTGGGTCGAGGCGGTAGGAAGGGCAGCCGGAATGCAAGTCTCCAATCACATTCTGAAAACATCTTTTTGACAACCGTAATAACAACAGTAATAACAAATCTGAAGGAGGACGGCAGCTCTGAGCGTGAAACGTGGATATAGTATCAGGTATGAGGCACGCACGGTATAACATTCTGCAGCTGAGAAGGCCGGGGAAGCTGGTGAAAACGGACGGTTGCCAAAGTGAGTGTGCGGTAAATGGACGATCGCATTACTTACACGCCTCGCATCTTGCTGCGTGTGTATGTAGAGAGAAGATGGGAGGCTAGTAGCCAGGACAGGGAGTATCTCTAAGCTTACTGGTCTGCATGTAATGATGGTACAGTTGAGAAGGAAGGACGGACAGTGTAGATAATAGCTAGTGGCTGCTGAATGTGGCTGGTAATAAAGAATGAAGTGGGACGGTTATGTACTGTCAAGTCCTTTACAAGAGCAAGAGAAAGGTACCATGGACCAGTTTTTCCAAGACTTACCGAAATCTGTCGAGTTTCACTTTTCGTTCAAGACATTTTGCTATTTATATCATGAACAACTTTCACATGCATCCTCTGATATCGGTGTTTATGTGTGTTACAATCAGTCGTTTTTTGGCAAAGAACCCTCAGATTTAAGCTAGTACAGCGATTTCAAAACGCACTTCCATTCATCTGAGCTTTTCAAGTAAAGGCCATGCCTTCAACACCAACACTGAGAAACTTTACAACCTGGCCTACGCAGGATCGAGTGACCAGCAAAGCCGAACTCTCTTGGTGAATCGGTTTGTGTCTGGACTATGAAACTGAAACTCATCCGTACCAGATGAGTTGCTCATGAAGAATGCTTCAAGGAAGCAAAAAAACACAAGAACTAGTGGGGAACTGACAGAGGACGACCAGTGTGGCAAGCAGAACTCAGTGCCTACCTAGTGGACTATCCTCTACCCCATCGACAACCTATACTAAGAACAGTTCACCCAGTGGAGCAAGAAGCAGGGCCAGAATAAAGTGCTTCGGCTGCGGCATGGATGGTCATATAGAAAGAAACCGCCTGTACTCTAAGAAAGGCAAACGACGAGAAGAGGAAGCTCGTAGACAACGACAGCAAAAAAATTCCAGTATAAACTGATCACGTTTATTTACAGCCTCAAAATAAATTCCCACATCAATTTTACCGAACACGGTAAATTACGTTATAAAGAACATAGGAATACGTTCCATTTCCATTTGTGACAACGTCAAGACAAGACAGTCTGTCTGAAACGCTGAAGGCGGCGGCTTGACAAACTCACAATCGTATCCACCGCGGTGTCCCAAACCTCAACACACGGAACACACACACTTACAGTGTAACGTGTAACTATCAACAAATTAAAAAAATCACTTAGAGCAAGACAGCCTTGCAGTTGAAGTTGAAGAATATTATGAAGAACCTGATTTACCAGTCCTGCATATTCCTCGAAACAACAGGCCATGAACATGCTGTAACAAAATGGCCAGTTCCT